GAGTGAATAAGTGTCAGGTTGCACTCAGTTCTCAAGAACAGCACTCCTCGTTGACACTGACACAGGTTCAGGGATAGGAATTTTTATTGAAAAAAAAAACCAGAAGCACACTATGATCTGGCAAAAAAAAAAAGTAGCTGGAACTAAATCCCCCCAGCCAAACCCCAAACTTAAAGTCCTTTCCTCCCCCCCCCCTTGATCACGAATCCTTTCTGCTCAGGGGATGAGGCTCTCCGATGTCCTCCGTTGCCAGGTTTTTAGTTGTCCCTGATGGTCCAGGAAATGACTTCCCGGCGACGAGCAGTCCTCGCTCCAAGCTGCTCCGCCTCTCCTGCCGGAATGGCAGAACCACAGCAATTAAATCCTAGGTGCTAAAAAACGATCGCGAGGATTCTGACATGCCACCCCCCAAAAAAGAGGAGCAGGTCCAGTCTTCACAGAAGGAACCTGTGGAAAGACTAAAGAAAGGAAATAAAACATATACACAACCCCACTCAATTTGCTATCTAGGTTTGTTGGGGTATTTTTTATAAAAGTCTCTGATTAATCAGGGTTCCCTAATGTCTGTTTCATCCACCCACTCACTCTGTGCAACCGGGAAGTGCTTCCACTGCATGAGGAATTGCAGTTTCCCTGTCCGTGTCCTGGAGTCCAGAATTTCTTGAAGCTCGAAATGCTGCTGGCCGCTATGATGGGTTCAGGTTGGTTTTGTGTGGGGTGCCATTTGGGCGATCCCTTGAGCGGTTTAAGGAGGCTGCAGTGAAAAACTGGGTGAATCCTACAGAGGGACTTCGGCAGTTTTAGTTGGAATGCCACAGGGTTTATGATTTTTTTGATTGGAAAGGGACTGATAAACTTGGGTCTAAGCTTTTTTGATGGTTGTGCTGTTTTGAGATATTTAGTTGACAGGTACACTAGGTCTCCCACTTTCCACAGCTTTTCAGGAGCACATTTGCAATCAGTGTATTTCTTGTAGTCATCCCAGGCATCCTGGAGCGGCGCCTTAACAATTGACCATAGGGCAGTCAGTTGCTCAATCCACTCATCAGGTGACGACACGTGCGTGACTTCTTGGGAAGTTCAGGGACAGTCACAAAATCTTGTCCCGTGGCAACTTTGAAGGGGGGGTGTCCGGTGCTCTGATGCATCGCATTATTGTAGGCAAACTCAGCAAAGGGGAGCAGCTGTGACCAATTGTCCTGTTGATGGTTAATGAAATACTGTAAACACTGCTCTAATATAGCATTCAAACATTTGGTAGCCCCGTCCGTCTGGGGGTGACTGGCGGAACTAAGGGCTTGGCTCAACCCAATTAACTTTATAAATGCCCTCCAGAACTTTGATGTGAACTGTGTGCCTCAGTCGGAAATTATTTGTGATGGGACACTGTGCAATCGGTAGTTGTGTTGGATGAACAACTTGGCTAGTTTGTTCTCTGTGGGAAGGGACGGGCATGCCACGAAATGGGCTTGTTTGGAAAATAAGTCAGTCACCACCCAAATCAGTGTGTTTCGTTTGCTTTCTGGTAAATCAACAATGAAATCCATACAGTATGAAACTGGTCAGAGCAGTAATGAAAAAACTGTTGAAGGCACACCTGTATGCTAAACTCTCCAAGTGCGAGTTCCATGAGGAACAAATTGACTTCTTAGGGTACAGAATATCTAATAGAGGGATGGAGATGGACCCCACGAAGATACGAGACGTGGGCTGGGAGGCACCCAAAATTGCAGGCAATTGCAATGCTTTTTGGGGTTTGGCAATTTCTACAGGCAATTCATCCCCAACTTCGCCCAAATCGCCCTCCCTCTCACCGACCTCTTGAAGACGAAGGGAAAGGCCAATAGCACAACAGCCCAGAGACTGGGGTCCAATAACCTGGACTGAGGAATGTCAAAGTGCTTTTACGCAGTTAAAAAGACTTTTCACTGCCGAGCCTATCCTAAAGCACCCTGACCCAGAAAAGCCCTTCATCATCCAAGCTGACGCCTTGGAGGTAGCCATGGCAGCAGTGTTACTCCAGTGGACATCATCTGGAGTGCTGCACCCGTGCGCATACGTTTCCGGGAAATTTACCGAACTGGAGCAGCGATGGCTGGTCTGGGAGAAGGAAGCATTCATGGTGAGGTGGGCGTTGCTCAATTGGAGGCACCTATTGGAAGGGTCGGCTCATCAATTCGAAGTATGGACTGATCACAAGAATTTAGAAGCACTACGGTCACCACGGAGGCTATCGTCGAAGCTCGTGAGGTGGGCACAGTTTTTCAACCAATTCAATTTCACATTGAAGCATATACCGGGGGGAAGAACTTTTTGGCAGACGCCCTATCTCGATTGCCGCAACATGACAGCCAAAGGGAAATGGTAATTGCAGCTGTTATACCCGAACCCCACTCCAGGCTGAAGGCAGCAGCCTAGGCAGAAGGGGGGATGCAGGGGTTGACCCAGCATGGAACCTTTTGAGTGATTTTCGCAACCAGTTGCAAAATGACAAAGGTTCCAACAAAAGAAAGACACCTTGGAGACCCACAACGGGGCATGGTGGAGGGGTGGCAAATTATATGTCCCAGAGGAAGCCAGAAATTTGGTATTGCAGAAGGAACACGATAGTAAGACAGTGGGACACTTCGGCTTTGTTAAAACTTTGTACCTTTTACGTCGGCAATTCTGGTGGCCCTCTATCCGCTGGGACATTACTGAATATGTACCCGGGTACCCTACCTGTGCGATGGCGAAGAAATTAGGCAGTAAGCCGGTGGGGCTCTTACAGACAGTAGCAAACCTGGAGAAGCCCTGGTGGGAGATTGCTACAGTATGTTCTTCCATCGTTTCCAAGTAGATCAGGATATCGTCTAAATATACCAGCGCCCCCTGCTACAGAAACTTGTGTAACACCTCGTTTATGAGCTGCATAAATACCCCCCAGGCACCCGCCAACCTGAAGGTCATTACCAAATATTGATAGCAACCCAGGGGACAGCTGAAAGTTGTTTTCCACTCATCTCCCTCCCTGATTCACACCCGGAAGTATGGTTCTTTCAAGTCTAGTTTGGTAAAGATCTTTCCCTTTGACAACTGTGGCAACAAATCCTTCATCAGTGGTAGAGGGTATTTATTCTCCTGGCAAATCGCGTTTAAGCCATGGTAGTCAGTGCACAGCTGTAGCAAGCCATCCTTTTTTTCTCAGAACAGGACGGGTGCCACCAAGGGTGATTTAGCGGGCTATATAAAAGCCCTTTTTAAACTGGTGTCGATGAAGTCTCTCAGGGCCCCTAATTTCTTGGGGGTCATCGAGTATATCTTAGGCTTGGGAAATTTTGCCCCAGGTTCTGTCTTGATTGCACAGTCAGTGGCTTCATGAGGGGGAAGCTGATCCGATTCCGCTTCACTGAATACCTGGCTCAGGTCTCTGTACTACTCTAGGATTAAGTTGTTGGCTCCAGGGTCGCTAGGTTTATGAGCCTCCATGCTCGCCGCTGCCAGCTCTGTCCCGGGGAAGTCTCCAGTCCCTTTCTGCGCTCAGAATCCCCCATCGTTAAACCTCAAGCTCCCCTCTGCCCAATTTACTTTGGGATTTCTCTGCCTTGGCCACACTAATCCCAGTATCAGTGGGTGATGGGGGTCACGAGAAAGTTTAGTGTCTCCTTGTGGGTCCCGATCTTCATCTCAACTGGTTTGGTGTAAAATTCCATAGGACCTCCCCCCCCCGCATGGTCAATCCATCCAGTTGCCTGAATAGGATAGGGGCTTCTAACTTCTGCACCCTCAGCCCTAGTCCGGCCACAATTATGGGGTTAATCAGGCATCGGGTGCACCCCGAGTCTATGAGTGCAGACAGGTCTGCCTTGCGGTGGGTCCCTAGTACCTTCAATCTCACTGCTACCGTCATCAGATTGCATTCTCCGCTCACCATTTTGTCATGCCCCTGATTTTCTGCCTGCCCTGGAGTGCCCTTTAAAGCAGGCAGCTGAAGTTCCCCGCTTGCATAAGCTTACTCTCTTCCCTTGGTTGCCGCTCGGTTCGTTTAGGGCAGTTCGTGGCATAATGTCCCTCGGCTCTGCACCTGAAGCAAGTCCTTGTCATTTGCCACGTTTCCAGACCACCATCCTTCGGCTTCCCGGGTATTCACCTAACTGCCGTGCCTACTGAGGGTGGTGGTAGTGTCTGAACACTCCCACTTCTCCATTTGACTACCATCCAGTCGGTTTCGACCTTCCCGGTGAGGGTGACCCACTCCCTCAGGGTCTCAGGGCATCCTCCAGCGAGCACATGCTCTAGAATCTCCAGCTGCAGCCCTTGTTGGAAACACCTCATTTTAGTCTCTTCTAGCCAGTTTCGTGCCTTCTCGGCCAGTCTCTTAAATTCCAAGGCATACTCGGTGACTGGCCAGTTTCCTTGCCTTATCCACTAAAGGCTTTTCTTTGCTTGTATGACAGCGAAGGGGTCTTCAAAGCATTCCTGTAACACCTTCATGAAACCAATAAAATTTTTCAGCTCGCCCACTTCGGCTTCATGCATTTCCATGACCCACTCAGCCGCTTGCCCCTTCAGGAAGCCTGACACGTATGCCACCCATTCCACATCATCATGGACCACCGGCCACATTGCTCCATATATAGGTGCACCTGGGTCAGGAAGTCTACCAGCTGTTCTAGGTCCCCATTGAAGTACAGCTTCAAGCCTCTCTCCTGCAGCAGGTTCCTTTCCATCCTCCTCCTCTTGTCTTGATACTCTCCTCTGTCCTCTTCACTGCTAACCAACTCTTCACTTGTCTCCCCGCTGGCACCTGGGGTCAAATGGGTCTCAGACGGACAACCAGGGTCCAGGAGACTCAGCACTCTTTCCATCATTCTCTTTAATGATTGCATATTGTCCGACACCACCTTAACTTGGGTCTCCATCACGTTCACCTGGTCTACCAGTGTGGTTGCCCATGGCTCAGCACCGCCACTCCCATAGACCATGCTGCCATTGCCAATTTCCTCCTCATGGATGGGACCATGCCCCGATCTGGCGTCTCCATGAAAGCCATCCAGTGTTGGCCACTTTGCCGATCCTTTGCCTTTGCTGCTAATCGGGTTGCTCCCCCCATTAGCTTCTCTTCTGCTTTGTGCTCCGAGCCCCTTGGGCAAGAAGCCCCCACCTCAGCGATTTCGTCTGCCATTCTGATGGTCGGAGAGTTCGACTGATTTCCGCGTTGAGCCTCCGTTCCAGGAAAATCAGAAATGGTTGAGTTCCAGCTAACTGGCAGGTTGCGGTCAGTTCTCAATAACAGCACTCCTCATTGAAACTGACACAGGTTCAGGGATAGGAATTTTTATTGAAAAAAAAACACAGAAGCACACTGTGATCTGGCAAAAAAAGAGTAGCTAGAACTAAATCCCCCCAGCCAAACCCCAAATTTAAAGTTCTTTCCTCCCCCCCCACCTTGATCACGAATCCTTTCTGCTCAGGGTGTCAGATTCAGCCGGCATGGAACGGCAGGGCAAACACACTGCTCAGCTTCGCCTAGTCACTTTCACCGCCCAGACGCGAGCAGAGAAAAAGGGGAAGTGAAACTGCGAACTGATTGCTGACAGGTGGCTCAAACCGCAAGCGGATACTTTGTATCAGCGTGGCTCCCTCGGGCGCTGCAAACAAAGGAAAGCGCAGAGGCTCGGAAGCGAAGCAATCAACGAGCAACTGAGAACTCGCGGCCTTGCGCGCAAACAGGAAAACCCAACAAAGGCAACAACAGCACAACCCATAGACGGCAATCAGAAAGACCAAAGCACCGGACTGAATCTGCCATTTGGGCGAGGGGGGATTACTGCGGGCAATCTGTAACTAAGCA